TATATATATATAATTTGCTGCTTACATCTTCATGAATATCAATCTTGAATGAAAAACATTTTATAAAATCTAATTTTATAAAATATTTTAAGATATTTTATAACATTTTTACAAGAAGGTTCATGAATTTTTTAAATCTATATTTTAAGTAGAGTACTGATAAGTACTGATAAGAGTACTAATAAAGTAAATCAAAACGTTTGTGCTTTTTTGTACAGAATATAAATAAATTGAATTGTAATTCTTAGAACAATCTGTATTACTTGTTATAGCCACTGGATATTGATTATATTTTTATCAGATATTCTATAAAATATTTTATAAGATTAAAATATAATTTTATATGATATTTGATAAAGATTACTTCAGTGAGAATACCTGAATAAGAGCATTGGGTAAATATCTGTAATCCGCGAGGGATATTCTTTTCCTCTTGAGAAGCTTTACTTTCTTGTCAATGTACTCGATGGAAAACAATTCAACCCCAGGACATTCTCCCAAATTAATGCGACTCTTGTTCCAGGCGGACACACGATTTTCTTTCCTTTTTATTAAGGCAGCCTCTCTCAATTCCGTTCGTATGGTTTCGATTCGATCGCTGTCGTTCGAAGAAAGTTCCGTGGCTTCGTCTCTCTCCTCGTTGACAGTCTGCATCTCAAACTGAATTTTATTAACCTTTTATTACATTTATAAACAATCAAATACTCGTAGCAGCATCCAAATCTTTGAGTAAATCAAAAAGAAGTAAATTAACAATTCTTCCTCTCCTCTATGAAGTAAACAATTCAAATATAACCTCACTTTTTCCACATTTAATAATACAGGAACTGTTTTACCAATAAAATACAGCACTTTCAATTTCACGCTGCTGCATTACAGAACTTTACGTTACCAACGAAATGGCGATACGTCAAGGTTCCAAGTAAATGAACGTATAGATGGCGCGAACCAATGGAAAGGTTAGGTTAGACGCCGTTGTAATTCTCTGATAACTCTGATCGCCTGTATTTGCATCATTTCTAGCAATTTTTAGTAATTTCTAGCTTGTAATCATGATGTAAGTTGATGCAAGTAGCTACTTGCATCATAGCTTGTAATACGGAGTTATAAGTGGAAAGCAAGCTCTTATCAACGTTAATAATAGTGTCGTAAGAGTCAGGTATCCAGGTTTAAGTAAAGAAATTAAGAAGTGTGTCACAAAATATCTTATGCGGATAAAATGGAGGAGGTTAACCAGTTGGAACACCTATCTCTGGTGTCAAAAATCTGCACGGAATTGGAGAATCATTTGGGATTGAACGACAAGGACTTGGCTGAATTCATTATACACCTGGCTGAAAATAACAAGACGTTCCCAGCATTCAAGAAGGTACTGATCGAGAATGGAGCCGAGTTCTCGGACTCCTTCATAGCGAATCTCCTCAGAATAATACAGCATATGAAACCCGTGAAATCGTCCACCGAGAAGCCGTCTAAGTGTAAGCAGGACGAATTAGCGATAAAATTTCCAGCGCTGGCGTTACCGAATGACGATCCACGTTCCGAGACCAATGATGAAGATATCGTCAACGACGTTATGGCCTCCCTAGAAGCGTTCGCGCCGTCTAACAAGAAACAATCTGCGAATACCGAGAAAAGTAACGGTAAGATTGACAACGGCGAGAAAAAGAGCAAGCGGGATAGGAAGAGTAGAAGCAGGTCAAGGGACAGAAGGCGTCATAGATCCAGATCGTCGAATCGAAAAGAGAGGCGGCGCAGATCCAGGACGCGTTCCAGATCGCGGACACGTTACAGATCACGTGACAGAGCACGCAGGAGACGATCCGGATCTCGAGAACGCAAGAGATCGTCGTCTCGCGATCGTAAAGATGCGAGACACTCGAGGAGACGTGACGCCGACAGATCCAGATCCCGTTCCGCTGAGGAAACGCTCTCCGCAGAGCCGGAGGTAGGTAAGATTTACGTGGGTAAGGTCGCGAATATTGTGCCTTTCGGCTGTTTCGTTCAGCTGGAGGGTTTGCGACGTCGCTGGGAGGGCCTGGTTCATATCTCACAATTGAGGCGGGAGGGCCGAGTGGCAAACGCGAGCGACGTGGTCTCCAGAGGACAGAAAGTTCTAGTGAAAGTTCTCAGCGTTGGTGGACAGAAGGTATCTCTAAGTATGAAGGACGTCGATCAGGAAACTGGGAGAGATTTAAATCCCGTGGTGCCAATCGCAAAGGCCGACGAAGACGAGAAGCATTTACGTAATCCGGATAGGCCTACCTCTTTGCTGGAACTTCAAGGTAACTACGACGAGGACGAGACGTATTCTAGCAAGCGCGTGCAACGTTTATCGTCGCCGGAGAAATGGGAGATCAAGCAGATGCTGGCCGCATCGTGCATTGACAGGAGCGAGTTGCCAGAATTCGACACGGAGACTGGAATTTTGCCACGAGAGGACGACGAAGAAGAGGACGTGGAGATCGAGCTTGTCGAAGAGGAACCGCCGTTCCTGCACGGTCACGGCAGAGCACTGGGTGATCTCAGTCCCGTGAGGATAGTGAAAAATCCGGATGGCTCGCTGGCGCAGGCGGCGATGATGCAAAGCGCTCTGGCAAAGGAGCGAAGAGAACAGAAGATGCTGCAGCGCGAGCAGGAGATGGATTCTGTTCCCACCGGCCTGAATAAAAATTGGATAGATCCGTTACCTGAAGCGGAGAGTCGCACCCTGGCAGCGAATATGCGTGGCATTGGCTTACAAACGCAAGATCTACCCGAGTGGAAAAAGCACGTGATAGGCGGTAAAAAATCATCGTTCGGCAAGAAGACTAATCTGACACTGTTGGAGCAACGTCAGAGCTTGCCAATCTATAAGCTGCGCGATGATCTGGTGAAAGCCGTGACGGACAATCAGATTTTAATTGTAATTGGTGAGACCGGCTCGGGCAAGACGACGCAGATCACGCAGTATCTAGCGGAGACCGGTTTCACTGCGCGCGGCAAGATTGGCTGCACGCAACCACGTCGTGTTGCAACTGTGAGTGTGGCTAAGAGAGTGGCGGAGGAGTTTGGTTGCTGCCTGGGCCAGGAGGTAGGCTATACCATCCGTTTCGAGGATTGCACCGGGCCAGAAACTAGTATCAAGTACATGACAGATGGTATGTTGTTACGTGAGTGCCTGATGGACCTTGATCTGAAAACATATTCGGTGATTATGCTGGACGAGGCGCACGAGCGAACGATACATACAGACGTACTGTTTGGTCTGCTAAAACAGGCGGTAGGCCGCAGACCCGATCTCAAACTGATCGTCACCAGTGCTACTCTGGATGCGGTCAAGTTCTCGCAATACTTCTTCGAGGCACCAATCTTCACCATACCCGGACGTACATTCGAAGTCGAGGTAATGTATACGAAGGAGCCAGAGACTGATTATCTGGACGCTGCACTTATCACTGTCATGCAGATTCATCTACGTGAACCACCAGGCGATATTTTGCTCTTTCTCACTGGTCAGGAGGAGATTGACACTGCCTGTGAGATCCTTTACGAGCGCATGAAGTCACTAGGCCCAGACGTACCAGAGCTAATTATCCTCCCGGTTTATTCAGCCTTGCCCTCAGAGATGCAGACCAGAATATTCGAGCCGGCACCGCCCGGCTCACGCAAGGTCGTCATCGCCAC